CCCCCAATCTCATTTTTCCGTCCCCGAATGCACGAAATCCCGCGGGAACACCATTTCGCTCACTACAGCAACAACGAAGACCGAAACAATAACCACACTACCGTTGCGGCAACTACAACAACAATGAAGCCGCGTCACTCCCAATGATCGACAAACTGGACAAGCAGTTTACCGTCGACTACAACAACAAACACCTAAAAACAACCCGTCCGCGACGACAAACCCTCCGAAGTATTTGTAATTGCGCGCGCAAGCGAAAGACGCAAGCGTTGTGAATCGATGACGGCGGAACACAACTTCAACGAAGAAGTCTAGGAGAGAAACAGGCAGGCGGTAGGCAGGATCACATGTGTTTCATTCGTTCCGCCAGCGCATTGCGGAGCGTGTGTGCCGCGTGCGTTGAAGTCAACATCGCCACTGGTTGCGGGGGATGATGAATCCCCAGGTCCACTCGGCGCCTCACCGCGTTCTCGTCGACCTCCCACAACAGATTCTCGTCGAACTCGATACCGGCGTCGATCAGGATGTTGTAGAGAATGTAGAAGTCTGTGAACTGTTGCGGTAGAGTGTCGAGGTTCGTCTTGTGCGTCCGCAGGAAGAGCCTCCACATCCCCTTTAACCTCCCGAATGCCCTCTCCACAACCCCTCTTGCGACCTTCTGCTTCGTGTCGAACCTTTCCTCGTTTGGGTGCTGATTGATTCCTCCATATGGAACCACCACCCATTCAGAAGGAGGATACCCGTTGTCGCCCAAGATGTATCCGATCGTCCTCACCCCTCCCGGCAGCGTGACAGGCGGCCCACGAAACAACATTCCCTCTTCCGCGCGCCTGGACAGACTTGACAGCTGGATCACCCTAATGTCGTGGCAGCTCCCCGGATATCCAATGAACACATCAAGCACGAGCAGATCCAGGTCCACCATCACCTACGCAATGACAGAGAAACGGTGCTTGCGGTCGAAGTAGTTCTCGCTCGGCGCGTTCTCCAGTTTGTCCACGTAGATCTGTGTGCAGTCAACTGCGCCATGGCAATTGGGAAAGCCCTTGTCCAGAAACGCTCGTAGCGCGACGTGTTTCCGCACCCCCGTCGGCCACGATATCTTGTCCCCGTACACCCTCAACATAGCGCTTGTCATATCGCGCACGGCTCGAACTCCGGAAGCCCTGCCCATGTCGAAGGATGATGTGCTGTTGTCGTATGACTCTCCTGTAGCCCACCTGTACAGCGCATACGCGACGATCTGCTCCGGCTGAAGTGGCTCCCTGTAAAACGTCACCTGTCGTTGCAAATGAGCTGCACAGGCTTCGGTGATCTCCATGAACACTCCTGGACATGCGGAGCTTTTCCCGGAAGTAGTCGTCTGTCGTGTCATCGCACACCCGCAAATCCTCCCAAGTCCCGCCAGCTCTCCGCCTCATCCACCAACGAGGCGTCGCCCGAGGAAGCACACCGCTTTCGATAGCAGCGCACAGCTGAACCACGGCCTCCGAAGTGGTAATGCAGTCCGGGGCGTCCAACACCCTCTGCAGCAGAAGCCTCTGCCGCCGCCTCGAAAGCGTTGCCTTCATGCGCCCGGCCGCCCTTGCGACAATTGTCTTCTCCGTCCTCGACAGCACAACACGACCATCCCCATCGCAGCCCTCCATTACGCCCTTCCAACACGAAAAACAACGTCCACCCCCACCCACCTGCGTCTACGTCTGCCACCACGATTGAAGACGCCTGCAATCAGGTCAGGAAGACAACTGTGTTCAACGATGTTCCACCCCGATTGGAGCGTCCGCCCACCTTTGCTGAAGTACGGAACCGCTGCGGGCTTCCACGTGGCGAGCGCAACTGCCGATACCCGTCTTCATTTCGCCGCGTCGACCACACTTGAGAGAGTGGTGGTGAGGCGCCGCTGAAGTACGCATCGCGATGGCAACCGAAACCCTGCACGGCGTGCACTGCCCCCCCCTCGCCTACCCGCCTGTGCGCCGCCACACGATCGCTCCGCAAGACGCAAATTCGAATTTCGAATTTCGAACGGGGCCGTTCCCGCGTTCGCGATTTTCTTTTCCAGGGCCCGTGACGTATTGTCGTCGTCCGCCTGCTGGACCACCACGCCTCCTACACGGACATCCCGAATCAGAGGCCGGACAATCCCCTAGCGGCCATGTATAATCTAATGAAACTGGCCGCGGGAGGACCCCGAGGATTCGTCCTCGGGGCGATTCTCCGAGGACAGGTGGAACGACACCTCAAAAAAAAAAAAAAATCCGAGGATTCGTCCTCGGAGCCCGAGGACGCGCTAAGGAGTGTCGAATGACGCCCTTAGTAGGGATAGGGATATGACAGTAGTAATAATCTTTTTTTTTTTTTTTAAATAGACCCACCAGTGCTAGTAAAAATCATAAGAATGATAGTATTAACATTTCCACATCGAGGCCCTCCTCGATTGGACGAAAAAGACCAGACACTACAACAGAGTACATCACAAACAAGCATACATTCAGCTGTACATGGACCAGATACATTCATCTGCACCTGGTCGTCAGCAGTGGCAAAACGGACAATCTAGTGAACCAGAAAATCTTTTATACTTGGATGACTAGGTAGGGTACACTGGAGAAGGTGGGGACTTGTGCCACACACATGGCTACATAAATAACCCAAGCATAGGGAACCCACCAAAAGACGGGGGTGGAGCGAGTGGGGAGAGAGGCGTGCGGCCGGCACAAAGCGCTCCGCTGATGCGCTACCGGTTCAGGGGAACCGGTCCTGCTGGTCACCAGCCCGGCACGCTGCCGGGAGACGTGGCAGTCGTCAACCATCCTGCGCAGCCATTGCTTCGTCAACTCAGGTCATCGACAGGAGGGGATCTGGAGGCGAGTCAGCGGGTCAGAACAGATCAACACACCAACTCCATTGCGTTCTACGAGTATATTGGACATGGCGGAAAGCGCCCTGTCCCGACGAGTACTAACGAAGGTAAGGAATTTCCCCTGATTCTTTAGGGCAGGAAAATGCCGATCCCTGTGCTCGCACCCATCATAGTAGGACGACAATAGTAGTGGTTAGTAAGTCAGGCTCCTCCCCTAGTCAACCAGCCCGACGGCACCTTACCCCTCCTAATGGTACCCCATCTTTCCCAACGCCCCTCTACCCTTATCGCGACTTCAACCCCTATCCCTTTGCTTACTATGTCAGCACAAATCCACACCACCTAAACCCGTCAATATAGTTTGTCCCCCTCCGCCACAACTTCTCCCATCCCATCAGTGTCCTCCGCCCATAGGTTTCCCCTTCTATTCTGACCTACCCTCTCTCTCGCGAACCTCCCCCTAGTAGTTGCCCAAAGGTCAGAGTTGGCCTCGTGGCCACAGCCACCTCACTCGGGAGATATCGACATGGCTGAGTGGACAGCCCACTCAGTCGGTCAAACCCCATCCCATGCCTCCCCATCCGACCCCCACCCGCCCTTGGTCACACCGGAGGACATGCCGAGAGTCCGAGCCCTACTTGACAGCTGTTATGATGATGGATTGTTCCCCGAATCCACCTTTTCCCATGGCGATATTGAAATCGTCGACGGGATCGGTTATTTAAACCTTAGCGAAGAGGTGGACGCAGCCACGATCGCGTGGCTGAAGGATCGAACTGTTATCTGCATCTTTGAGATGCGAGCAACCACCCTCTCCGTAGCGCAAAGGGAACAATTCATCCGCATCTATGAAGATGCCTGGTATCAGGATGTCAATATCAATCCATCACAGAAACGAGGAAGAACCCATGGGGAAGGTCCAAATGTCATGTCATACGTAGCTCGCTCCATCCAAATTGCCCAATGGTTAATCACCAAAGGGCATGACTATATCCCTACACGCGCAGGCCCAGTCAAAGTCTCATTCAAAGCATGGATGACTCAACAAGAATTGGACCAAATCAGAGACCATGAAGCGGCAGCTAAGTACCGCATCATTGCGTTAAGGGTTCCCCTTAGTGCTATGTTCTCGCTCCGATACGCGGTCCAACAGTTGATGAGACCAATAATCCATATGCACCCTCCGGAAAGGAATGAGGACGAGCCTCGCTTGGGCAACGTACGTATTGACTGTGATCCATCAGTCCGAGACACGTTCATGGAATGGGTGGTACTAAGACGCCCTACAGGCCAGCACATGCGAATACAATTCGCAAATCAAGACACCATCTTCTGTTGCAAGTGTTTGTGGTGGTTCCATGATGAGTTCGACCCGGCTTGTCCTAGATTCAACGAAACCATGCCTCCGGGCAGACGGGGGAGAGGCAGAGGGAGAGGAGGAGGCAGAGGCCCAGGTGGGAGAATTCCCGAAGGTCAACGCTGACAGGGGGGTGCAAGTAACCCCCAACCCCCACCTTCGCACGGGCCTACCCCCACCCCCCCCGGCCGCCCATCCCCCGGCTTCTACGGAGCACATTCGCCATCCCACACCCAAGACCACCACCACCACAACCACAAAACAGTGTGCTACGTCACCCAACACCAGGTCAGCCCGCTCCACAGCTACAATACCCGGCACAACCATCCTACCCTCCCTCCCTTCCTCCCCCCCCCCAATATCACCAACACCATCTCATTCCCGACGCAGCACAATCACAACCCCCTCCTATGCCCTTTATCCAGCCACCTCGGCCCCGTAATCCTACGCTCCTGCCACGCCATCTGACCCCGCCTGGGCACACCCCGCTAACCCCTCGCCCAACTCAGACTTCTCAACCTCTGACAACATTCCACCGGTCCCCCCCCTGGTTTCAATCCAGAGGGCAACAGCCCCACCCGCATTCCTTCTCACGACCTCCCAAGGCACGACCTCCGCACAGGAGCTAGTCTCATACATTGCCAAGGTTGTAGGAGGTATGCCTCCCACGGCCCAGACAGGAATGCCTAACCAACAGCAGGGTAGCTCATGGACTGACCCGTCTCAACACGCTTTCACCACATACCTGAACCCCGAGTTTGACCCATCGCCCCACCACAGTGGACAACGAACAGTGCTCTCTACACAGTCCCACCCTCCACGGGACCCCCGTCTTGCTGCTTCAGAAAGACCAAGAACGGCAGGAGACTTGGGTGATGCAGTCATGAGAGACCCGCGGCCAGTCCTCCGATCCCCATTCAAACAGAGGAAGATCAATGAAGAAGGTGACGGAAAGATCACCAGAGAAGAAGCAGAAGTGGAAGTAGACTTCTTTTCAGTCGCAGGCAGCTCGCGCCTGGACAGAACTGCCACCGAAACAAGCACTCCAACTCTAACAAGGCAGCTTCTAACTCAACCTCCGAGCAGCAGGTCCCTAGACACGGTTCGCCATCAGACAGTTCTGCTACACTTCACAATGTCCGCACAGGGAACAAAGTTCCTGGCGAAACGGACTGAACAAGGGGTACTCGCTATTCCAACAGTGGCGGTGGAAGCATCAATAACAACGAAGGACTCCCTCATACTCGTGGCCGATTCGTTTATTGCAGATAGGTTCCCGTTCAGGCTCATCCCGGGAATTCGGATCGGCAGGAAGTCAGCTGCAGCTGCATCTGGAGGAAGTTGGCATTTCCACATTGGCATGATCGACGTGAAGATTTCTTCGGACACAACAGCTCTCCTGGGCTCTCAGAACGTTGTATGGCTGCCTTCCTCCTGGTTAGCCGCACCGGACGACCAGAACTGAAAGACTCGGAAGTCTTCCTTACCGAGGACGTCCCGGGCAAATGTGTGGCCGACTTCTGTACTATACTGGCGACAGACAAGCAGCCATATGCTCCAGGGTTCAGGAACCTTCTCCTAGCCCCATGGGGGACTGCAGCCGACACAGACTCCACCAGGAGGCCGAGAACCACAAGGGAGCAGTCAGAGGAAGCAGAGCGGATCCAACATGTAGCCGCCCAGAATTCCTCAGATGGTCAGAATTAACGTAGCCACATGGAATGTGAGAGGGATGGGGGACACCTCGGGTAGACATACGAAGGCGAGGATCAAGACGTGGATTCATGACAACAGAGTGCAGATCATTATGCTTCAGGAGACAAAACTGCCAGAGGCAAAGATCCAGGAGATCGCCAACTGGTGGCGTGGACCACAAGTCTGGGCTCCAGCCAACGGGACCAGAGGAGGCACGATTATACTCATACACCGAAATTTGGAGTTCGACCTGCTGGAAAAACAGGTAGATATTTGGGGTCAGTGAGCCTAGATCCAGATCAGTCTGGGAGGGGAAATATGGGTCTTCATGGCCATATATACTCCCTCGGAACCAGGGGAACGGAGGTCCTTCTTTGAGGAACTCCCCCATATCGTACCTGCGGCAGACAACGCCGTCCTAGCTGGGGACTTTAACTCAATCCTCACCCTAGGAATGGATTCTTAGCAAGCTGGACCCAGGAGAACAGACGCACGGATGCTGGCGGAGTTTATGGACCAACAACAGCTGGTTGATGCCTTCAGGCATACGCACCCTACAGAGCCTGGGCATACCTGGTTCTCCTCTCATACCATGGAAGGTAGCAGACCGCCGCAACACAGACTGGACCTGATGCTAACGAAGGGAGAAGCATGGGAAGCACTCACCTCAGTCGAAGTCGTCGTGGAGCCACTCTCGGATCACCGGCCTATCCTGGCCAGCTTCGAGATGAATACCCAACTCAAAAGAGGAGCAGGCACGTTCAGACTCAACACGGACAACCTGGACCGCCCGGGGATCCTGGAGTGGATCGCAGGCCATTGGAGAGAGTGGCAACAGACAAAGGACTGGCTTGACACAGAGGAAGTTTAGCTGCAACTTGGCTTCCGG